GTCTTTTTATTTTGTTTTGATTAAAAAAAACCCAAACAAATTCAAACACAAAACTTCTGCAAAAACAAAGACAAGACAAAACAAAACAAAAGGATGCAATTTATCTCTCACAGATCAGTCATTTGGCATCATGTCAAAATCTATGTCTTCATTATACAAATCTACAATGACATTTGCTTATGTGTCCAGCAGACGACCAGCAGTATGCTTTACTTTAGGATCCATCCCTTGTATTATCTGCAGTCTTCTCCAAGGTGATATTTCCAACTTTTATGTTTTCTTCCTCTGCCAGTCAATGGCAATCACATTTCTTTCTCCCTCTGTGGCATGTGAAATGGGTAACAGGGGAGGGGCTGCAGGTTTTCAGCTGTAGATATGTGAGAGGCAAATTATTTTCTGAAAGTAAACAGTATCATAACCAAAAGACTAAGGGTTTGACTCAGACAAATTAAAAAATTATGTGTTTTTTTCATTACTCTACAATCTGTCTACTGTTTCTCTTATTGATGTCACATGTCATTCGCCTACATGCAATTTTAGCCTTGGTCTTAATGCTCAGATCTATTCAGTACGTCACCAAATGCCTTTCAGGACTGTTGCCAAAAATATTCTCTTTCCTATCCAAAACTGTCCTGGAGACTCTTAATTCATTCACTTACAGCATCTAGCCTTGACTACTGTAATTCCTTGGTTTGCTGGGCTTGAAGCCAAATCAATTGGCAGACTCCAGCTTGCTCAGAATTCAGCAACAAGGCTTCTGACCCAGACCACGCCAACTCTGTACTCTCCCTGTGCTGCAAATCTATATTTGAAAAGCATGTTATACATTTACTGTAACAGTTTCCTTTACACTGTAATTTTATGGGTGGAATTTTTCTTTTACCCTACATGTCAACTGTCGCACTCTTACAGACTTTTTCTGAGCTAAATTGCTGTATATTCTACTCTTGCACTTAGAGTAATTCAGTGCAAAGCCTTTTTCATCCTGTATCCCTAATTGGTGGAATTTGGAGTGAAATTCTATATGAAATCTGGTTATTTTATCTGCCAGTAAAGGCTTTTGTTTTTATTTTAACACACTGTGTTTCAGTTTCTATTTTAATTGGTTTTTATCATAAGGTGTATAAAATATTTGGTTGCTGATGTTCTTTATTATTATATACCACAAATTAAAAATAATCATGTATGCATGGCAGCTGGTAATGTAATAAGCAAGGAAAAATGGACTACTTCTTGTCTCCTGAACTCAAGGAGAAATTTCAGCCTTCAGTCAGTCATGTATTTAAAATAGCCAGCTTGATAAATTTAATGGAGGGTAAAAGTGTTCTCTGTACCTCTTAATCTACAGATGAGACTATACTTTGGTTCTCATTTATTTCTGTTCTCTGTTAGCATAATTTTCAAATATCCTGAGTCAAATATTCTCTTGCCCTGGAGAAAATTCTATTTTTCCCCTTAATCCAATCTTGTATGCAACTTCTGCAGGCATCATTTAAGGGATTTTTGTTTCTGTTGTTCCTAGTTTTTCTGTTTTGTTTTTTTACATTTATACTTGATAACAATAGTCTATTCTGGTAATATGTCTTATGGCAACAGAAACTGAGATTTAAACTTTCTTTTAATATGCTTCCTATGAACTGGCACCTCTAATAAAGTGTATTATAGTTACTCTGCATTTGTTAAACATTGACACTTGCGTATCACTCTAGGGTTAGTTATTCAGATCTTTATAGTTATTTATAACTCAGCAGAAAAAAACCAAGTAGATAATAATCCTTTGTCTTTATCATGCCACATAAAATACCAGCTGCATAAGAGGTTGTTCCTCTAACAAGATGCACTTATTTACATCCTGTAAGTTATATTGATAGGAAAAACAATGATGTGGTATGGACCCTTCCAGAACAATGTGGTTTTTTAAACCCTGATTTAGTAAGGAAACAGCTTTGCATATGGTCAATAAAAATTTGATATTGCATAGAACTTACTAGCAGATGTTTGACAATGAATATTTCATGTTACTTAATAATTCTACTTACCAGACACAGCTGAGAGTACAGCACATCCTAGAGTTCAAGGTGCCTTAGGGAGGCACCTTAGAGAGTTCTTTCATTTTGGAAATTTCTTTCCGGAGGTCAGGAAGTGGTCTGAAAACCATGGCCAGCAGCAAGACTAGGAACAACTGTTTCACTCAGATTCTGCAAGTATCAACCCAAAATCAGGGGCCTCTCTTTGGCCCACAAAAAATCTTACCCAGACATAGAGGAAAAGTGAGTTAACTGAGGAGTTTCTTAGCAGATATGAACTCTTCTGACTTTCCCTTAGGGATGAATCTACCATCCCTGTGGAGTCTCTGCTGTTGGATCACTTACCCTTACAAATTTGATTCTGATCAGGAGTGGGTACACTGTGTTTTGTCTTCCAACTATCCAGAGAACAGGAGTTATGCCAGCTTTAGGCTTCCAGAGTGTCTGTGGGAGAACAAATGAATCTTGATGTAACATGAGTTTACCTATGAACAAATGCAAACGGGCAGCACAGGTTTATATTGGATTGCCATCTCAGAGGACATAAATGCAGGATTTTGATGAGTACAAAGAGATATGGAGCTACTTTCCTGTACTGTCAAACCATGTCCTTGGTTGCTCCTTAGCTCTAATGTAATGCTTGGAGACCTTTTATGTCGGATGTTACCTGTGGGTGTTTGTAACTTCATAGCCTAGATTGCTGAGCATATTGAAATTGCTGTATATACATTGACGCTTTCTTTGAATACAGAGTAGTAGGATGTTGGTCTTCGTTATGTACTGATTTAATATTCTCCTCTACATTTTCCTTTTTATAATATCTCTTGCTGTCTATTGCATAATGTTTCTTTAAATGCCTTGATTTTTAGCAAGTAGCGCTCATAGTATAGTACCTCCTCCAGATTTTTTAATATCTGAAAGTTGGTAAGTGAAGGAGATCCTTTTTCTGCTCACTTTTTCTACTGCAGTTATGCAAGAAACACTCTTTGACACCTTCCTAGCTTGTGTTTCCATTGAGGAGAGTTTCTGAAATGATCAGATAATGACTTTTGATAAATCATAGCCCCTGTTCACAGAATGGAAATTAAACACTTTAAAGTTCAAATGTTTTTCAAAATTCAGATGATCTTATTAATACCTATTAGTGGAAAAATGGCAGACCTGCTCTTCCTCATATCTTTATGAGTCGTTTCTACTTGAATTGCCACTTGCAAACTAAAACCAGATTCTTAATTAAGCAAGATTTTCTGAGCACCTGGGTCATCAACACAATGATAGTAATTAAATTCTAGCCTCAGTTTCTATACACATAATAATAGAGTGCTTTAGCATTCTCATTCTTTTCAAATTAATTGAATAAATATACACAGCATAACTTCCTTGATATATCCAACCCTTTACTTCAAGCAAGTTCTAATATGCTGAAATTATCACATCTGCTATTAAAACTTGAATGGATCACAAATAGATACCAGTAATTTTGACGCACCTCCTTTAGTATAAAACGCATATAAGTATTAACTTTGAAAGATGAAATTTATTTCTATGGCTTTAGAAGTTAATCAACCAACCCTGATGATTGCAAAGAGAATCTTCCACATGTGATTCTAAATGTTGTAGTCTTCATGAATCTGAAAGCAGCCTGCAACAGTGGTAAAAAAAGGAATAAAAGAAATATGCTCTTACTTAGATGAGTGAGGTTAAATGTCAGATCTAGAGGTGAAAGATACATAACTGACTTACTAGGTGAGTACACCATTTTAAGAAAGATTGGTTGTTATGCATAATAAGGTCCTCCACATCTGTGACTTGAGTGGAGAGACCAGGTCAGAGGATATTACAGCACTCCTTCCCCTACTTCTCAGTGAAAGGGAGGGGAGGGAGGTGCTGTCAGCTGAAGCTTTACAAAACAGTGGACATCATTTCAGCCCAGGAATCTAAAGAGATAAATAGCCAAGAACCTTGTCACAGAGTTGAAGCATTTTTCAGTTTGAGTTCATAGGTCAGCACAGCTGCTCACTCAGGAGCACAGCCCAAGTAATTTGTAGAAAATCTGGATTTCTTGGTGGTCTTGCAGTTAGCTGTGCTGGGGTCAAAGCTACTTACGTGTTCGCCAAATAATTTCTAGGTAGGTCACTGTTGTGCAAGGACAATGTTGCTTGTAACTGATGCAAAGAGAAGGAAAAGAGTGTTGGGAGAAAATTTTCTGATTTAGGGTGAACAAGTAGGTAAAGACTTAAGAATCTTAATTGTCCTAGATAAATGTCCTAAATATGGATGTCTGTCTTCAGAACAAATACATTAGAGTTGAAAGAGGGAAGCCCATTTCACATCTCTTCATTGTACATGCACAAAAATGCAGCTGTTCATATACATAAACATACATAGGCCATGGACACAGGACAGAATGATCTACCACAGGTGAGCCTGTTTATATTAAATAAAACGGAAGCAGCAGCTGCAGCTACAGTAAGCAGCATTAATGTATGGTTTAGCCCTTCCCATCTGCTGACAAATTCCCACTATCAGGTAGTCACCCTCCAAAGCAGAGCCTGCTTGTCTTTCATGCTTTCATTTGTACAGCCTGATCATCTGAACACAGCTGCCGCAGGGGAACATGCCTCAGGTGTGTGCCTTGAGTGTCATTTCGGTAGTCACACAACTATAGCCACACATGCAAAGGCATGTGGCTATGCAGAGAGTTGCAGCAGACATCACTGGGAAGCAGCTGCATGCGTGTTTTTTTGGTACATAGTTATAAGTTGTGTAGACTAAAGTTATGGAGACAGACTTGAAGGGAGACATCTCCAACATTGATAAAATGTAAGTACAAAAGACACATCATTGGATGGATATTGATGATGTTGTTTCAGTAATGACATCATCCATAGACTCCTAGTGTCTTTGCTTTGCTTCTCTATAGTGATCACAACATAAATTGCTTGTCTTGTTTGACTTCCTTGTTCACCAAAGTTGAGCAGATTGTCGCCGTTTTCAACGCTTCTACCAGACAAAAAGCTTGGGACCATTTCTCGAAAGCCCAGCGAAAGAACATAGACATTTGGCGAAAGCATTCTGAGGTTGGTGATTTTATTATTACTTTCTATCCATCATCTCACAGCTGGATTGACACAGAACGAGTGTGATTGTAGCTGGACATTGTGTACTCAGCAATATTTACGGCTACCGCTTTAGCTGTTAATCAACTGGCCATTATACAGTCTCATCTACAGTATGAATTGCTCCCATTGCTCTCGTTATGATAATAGTCATTAAATAACACTAAGACAGAGAGCAATGTGTTTTTATTTTTCATGCAAGATTTGGGAAATCATTGGAGGATTATGTTTACTATCTAAAATAATGAAGTGAAATAGTGAAATTAGGAACAGTACTTTCAACTAAGGATAGAATTAAGAATTATTTCTGAAAATATATTTTTAGGAGTCATCGTGATATGTTTTTAAAAGAAATATTCTGCAGGACAGATTTTTTTCTCTCATTGTGCCATCATATGGTCATTATAAGATGACTTTGCCTGAAAATAAAGTAGATAATTTCTTTCCTAAGTAATGACTCAAGCATATTAAGTCCAGAATTATGACATACTCCTTCCCATTTGTTTTATGTTTATTTTTTAAAAAAGTAGATACATCACTTGTATTGATTCTAAGTATTATGCTTGCAAAGAAACCAGTACAAATGTAATCATACTACCACACAGAGTTAGCAGTGTGGGACCATGCATGTGTGACTGTCATAAGCATGAGCAGAGGAAATGGGATTCTAACTCCCATTGCTGCGAGTGGCAGCAAAGGAAGCACTAGACCTCATCCTGTGTTTTGGTCATCCAGCTTTCGTTTTTAATTCAGTATATACGCTATGAGCCTGTATTTTGAAAAGTAAGTACCACTGTCTTTGTTTTCTTTCTTTCTTCTTCCTTTTTTTAATATGAGCAACTTACATACACTTGGTTTACTTTCATGTAGTACAGTATGTTGGTTGTTAGTATCACAGTGCTCTAAATGATTTTTTTCTGCCTCAGAATAAAAACTTTAGAAGGTAAGGCGCACTTATTTAATTATTTTGTAGTACACTTGTAAAATAAGTGTTGTACACTTAGTTTGAGAAACACTAAAGTGCTGCGATATAAATCATTTGGATAACATTTTAAGTGCCCATTAACTAATGCTAAATTACAGTTGAATACCAATGGCACTAAGTGTAACATCCACATGAATACCAAATGAATTCTTTATTATCAGTGCTATTATGGTGAATACCAAATGACTTCACAATAATGGGACACTTAAAATAAAATGTTAGCGTAATTTATTGGTGCAAACTGTATTTTGCATTTTGTTCACAAATATTTCATGTAAGTAGTGGAAAAAGCCTTTGTTCAATTGGAAGTTGCGAAGTTGGGGATTGATGTTTGTCTTATCTTTTAGAGAAGTGTGAAAATATGATTTGCTAGTAGCTTATTTAAATTATATTAAGACTCTCCTTTCTTTAACTAGCATTCCGTAGAGGGGTGTGTCATTCATTTGCTGGCTTCTAAATCTTTAAAAAGTGAAATGTGTAAGAGTTGGACTTTCCAGAAATGTTAATTCACTGCTTGCTTTTTTTGAATATTATTGCCTTTTGTTTTCCTAAGAAGAGGACAACAAAAACAATTCAAAAACACGCAAAGGTGCTTTCACATTTTAGAAATATGAAGCCTGCTTTTCAGATGCAAAAAAAGGCATCTTTGATTTAAATCATATTTCCTAATAATGACACTATCTTCTAATTTGTTTAATTACCTGATCACCTTCCCCTTTTTTCTGATTTTAAAAAGTTTTGCTAGAAACACAAACCCAGAGCAAACACTCACACACATAGGCGTTCTCCATGGAAGTTTATTGGCTTTGCTGATAATGTAGATGAAGGACATTTATCCCCTAAAGAGGGAGTAAATGTAAGCTGATGTCTGCTAATGTATGCAGTATATTTCCCTAGGAAAAAGTGCAGGTGTCCTTTTCCAATAAGAATATAAGAAATGGCTTACTAATTTCTTCCAGAGGTGCCTCTGATTGCGTGAGATGTTGGTTGACAATTTACCTTTTTAATCATGTTTTTCCTAATTTGAAATTATTCCCATGTAAAACGCCCACTAATTAGCCTCCTTTCCTTTGCTGGGATTAATAGACACATATACATTTATCAGAATATTTGAGATCTACCGATGAACCAAGGGTACAGCTCAAGGGAAACACCTTCCCTTTTTTCACGCAGTCCCTCTCTGACAGCTCATTGTTAATTGTATGGAGCAGTGGTCAGGCTCCTCAATGCTGTCTCCTCCTTCCACGCGACTCTTCCTTGTTTCAAAGATTTCAAACCACCTCTTTGGGAATTAGGTTCTTTGTCGGCAGAAAAATTAGCTGTCTGCAGACTGAAAGGGCCTACACTAATCACGGTGCAGCATCCCCGTGTTACACCTGACAGGATTATTAGGACAAAATAGAGTCCTCTCAATCTTCTCAGCACTGCCATTAAAAAGCCAGCCGCTACACCCGCGCCAGCTTTTCTGCCCAGAACAAAGACCGTCTAGACTCCCACAAAGCCTGTGTGCCCGCTGATCCTTTACCTACTGACATGTGCATGGGCTCCCTGCCTGCCTGCCCTTGCTGCGGTCGCCCGGAGACGGGGTTGTCTGTGCTGGCACTTGTTTTGGAACAAGATGTGGAGTTTTTCTGGGCAGCATTATTGGGCTGACTCTTTTAAATCCAAGGTGATGTGGGCATAGAGACAGAGGGTGAAATTTGTTCGGCCAGCATAAGGCACCTAAAATATGGAGCGCTCCATCTGGACTGACTGCTCTCGGCTCTCTGCCATCAGCAGAGAGAAATAGGCACTTTTAGGGTGTAGTTAATATGACTTTGTTTAATGGAGACAACCACACTTGACCGGATTAAACCTACCATAAGTGGCAGAGAGAAGCAAGAATTATCTGTACCTTAAGAAGGCTGACAATCTCTTCATCAGTCTGCTTTATATATAATTTTAAGCATTATCCCTGCTGTTAAAGTATTCTGCTATGTTTAGTAGATCTACAGATCACTCAATGTGGAGATTCGCTTTCACTCTTGTTTTCCCTGAGTGTTACCTTTGATAAACTCAATTCTTTCACTGGAAGAATTCCCTGTGATACTGTTGCTATAAATATTCGTATACAGATAAATATGATTACAATGATAAATTATTTATAATTAAAATCAGAGCAGCATTAAAAACAGATACTAAATAATACCTACTGACTTTATGGAAGTTAATACTGACAAAAAGTAATTTTGGGTTTTAGGAGCTCCGAAATGCTCACAGTGAACAGCTCATGGGAATCCGACGGGAAGAGGAGATGGAAATGTCCGATGATGACAGTGGTGACAATCCCAGTAAAAAGCTGAGAGTAGATGATTCAGGTAAAGCCAAATCCCAGCATATACAAATGTTTTTTCAAAAACAATCAAAACCTTACATAGTTTACCTATTAATAGCTGATTATATAAGACAGTATCTTATTTTAAGCACTTATGAATTAGTTATTTGAAAGATGAAAGCTGTCTCTAGGAGGTATCTGTCACCTGCTATGATCTATAATGATGAAAATTCTCCAGTTCTGCACTTGGCTGTAAGCATTATGTTTCCTTAACATTCTCTCTGCAGGCTTGCATAACAGTCAAGTTGTGACAATGTCTTATGAGACTAGGTGAAGTTATGTTTTGGTCAGTATTCTCTAAGTCTTACCTTTCTTTTCAGCAAATACATAGTAATTTAAAATGCATTGTCATGTATAAGCTCTCTAACAGATACACTATATCATTTTAACTGTGTGTTTTGTGGAATTAACTTTTAAGGGTACATATTTCACGATACGGTACTTGCACACTGCATTAATTTGACTCTTATTCGATGGTTATCATGGAAGAAAGAACAAGGGTGCTTGTAATATGTGGAAAGAAAAGCAACTTTTTTTGGCCTTCTACAAATACTCTGCTAACCAGAGTGGACACTTCACGAGGTGGCCCAGAAGCTGCCTGAATTCCTGACTGGTAACATGACCTGGATGGACCCTTTTCTTGATTTCTTGACATTGGCTAACGAAGCTGTGAGTAACTAACAAGGGTTTGCCTGTCTAAACACTCATCTTTGGAAAGAAAACTTACAGAGGCTGAAGCCAAAGCATGACTGGGAACTCCCAGCCAGCAGTGACCTTTAAGGAAGGGAAAGGTGGAGGGAGCATTATAGAAAGAGTCTGAGAGTCTGATGATGAGGATAATTTTGATCTAGGCCTTTGCATACAGGCACCATATTAAGTAAGGAAAGATTTTCGTCTCTTCAATGGTTTCAAGTTCTTGTATATCTGCATAAAAGTGTGAATTCAAGCTTATATATAGAAGAGGTCTCTGTCTCCTCCTATGACAAGATGCTGTGTGAGGTTGAATGACTCCAGTTAAGTAAAGACAGAAGGAAGGGGTGTCATTCTAGCAAAGAAATGTTTATTACAGTATCTCTCTTGAAGGGAGATTTATTGTTTTTCCTGAAAGAAAAAGGAAACAATAAAACCTGTAAAGGGCAGCTTTAATTTTTGCTTGGCTAATTGTATGGGTTTTAATTTTCTAGATGTCATTAGCAAATGTCTGAAGCTGAGACAGTGGGTCTCTGCAGACAAAAAACTGCTAGCAGTAAGACATCTTTATGAAAGTTGAATCATTTTACCTTGACTGTGTCCACTCTTATGGGAGGAAGTCATTAGAATTAACAACAGGAAGGTAAAGCCAGAAATACCCACAGCCTGAGATCCAGAAGAGGAGTAATGATGTTTTGAACCGTCATACCTAGCAATTCAGCTAGGTTGAACATATGCATGCTTAGGACAGAGCTATGCCAGTCATTCTTTTTGTAACATCACAAATAGAAAAGCATCTTTGGTTTTCTTCCATGAAAAGGGACATATCTATCGATGTTTTGGTATCTGAGATTTCTACAGCATTCCATCCCAAACAGCTTCCGTTTACTTGCATTGTTATCATGTGGGGACTTGAGTCCCCTCAGCAATAACAGTAGCAAACTGTGCTGCATATTAAATCAAAATTTAGCGATATGAATCCACTTGAGTACTTGTCTGTCATTGTCCATTGTACCATTGATCATCCTCTTCATCTTAGTGGCATTGAGACCAGCCTGCTGCATACATTCGGTCATTCAGTTCTAAAATTAACTTTACAGCTTTCTTCTTCTAACATTACACTCTCAACTAAAGCAAGTGGGTTTGATTCTTCTGTCATTGACAATAGAGGGAACTTGAAGTTAAATTAAAAAAGTTATTGGGTATAAAACACTGGTAAGTGAAAAGAAAGTGAGAGAAGGACATTTAGTTTTTCATTTTTATGTACAGAGAAGTGATTCTTCCTTCTCTTAACATTTTTTTTTAAATTTACTATTTGTGTTAGCCACCTTCTCTTTTTCTGTTTTGGTTGTGTTGTTGTTGTTGGTTGGTTTTTTTCTTTCTTTTTGAGTGTCATTCCAGAACCAGCTCTTTATCTCACTGGAGTGGCTATTTGTATTCATAGTAACCCCTGTTCTACAAAGAATGTCTTTTAAAGAATCTTTTATCACAAAGAAACAATTCCTCACAGTAAGAAAACATTGGCACTTTCTTTATTTTTAACTCCTTTTCTTCAAATGTTTGTCTAAATGCTTAACCATGGGAAGGGCAAGGCTTGAATTACACAAAGAAGATATTGTGCCTCTTCAGTTCAAGGACAGCATGCACACATAAAGGCTTAAAAGTCTAAATCTGAAAGGGGCTGAAGCAATGAGCTGAATTGGTTTGTATAGTTCTGGAGTTCTGGACTGCCTGTCCTGCCATCCCAACAGTTGTCTTGAGAACATTATTTTTCAGCCTTTTTCACTGTTCCTCAACAGTAGGAACAACAATCCTGGGAAGTTACCATCCCCAAAGATACAAGTGGCAGAGATCTCCCCAGGTTCCAGCACCTGTGTCAGGTCTTTTATCACTGGTTCACCTAGTTAAATCACCCCTAGTACAAGAAGGCTCAATTAATACAGCAATTTAGAGTGGGTCCTAAGACCTCATTCTGTCTTGGTGAAATGTAGTTTCAGGAGTCTCCCAGTGTAATTTCTTCTGTTAATTCAAGCGTTTTTCAATCAAAAATGTCTCCACTCCTGTGGATGGTAGGGTGCTGAGTGTGTTGCATTTCCTCACAGCTAGACTGGTTAGTCTGAAAACTCTCTTCTAGGATATCTGAAGAGAAACCTATTCATCACCCTGAAAAAAGGGTGGATTCCAGCCCCAGCATTTGAAAACACAATGCAACGCATTTAAGCCCTGAGGCTGAGCAAAAGGACTTCGGTGCCTAAATGCTTATCCGAACTTGCTGGACTTCAGGTTTCAGAGGATCGTTATATTTTGCTGAGGCCCTTGTACACAATAAGTTCTGGTGATTTGGAGTAGATTATGAAAAAGGTGTTAGTAAGAATGGTGTGCATATTTTCTTCAAATTGTGCAAGAGACTAAGTCATTCAAGAGATTAAGTTGTGGTGTGTATTAGAATTCTACTAATAGCTCTTTGTTTGGTAGTATTTGGGCTTGCTACTTGTGACAATGCAAAACAGCTCCAGAGGGACTTGTTGCAAAGTGTGTCACTCAGTTCCAGATTCAAAACTCTATTCTTTCATCTGCCAATTGCTCTTCTCTTAGTTGTTTATGTACTTTATTTACTGGTGTCAGGGACTCAGTGACAGAGCTGGATTGAGAATGGAGGCCTTAATGTCCTGGATCTGGCTTTCTACTAGTCCATACTGCAGGTCTGGGGCACTAAAGACCTTCTACTTACAGGTCATTCTCCCCAAGCTCAGTGAGTACCCCAGTCTATCGTGTGCAAGCTGGATCTTCATGGAAAGAAACATGCTTGTTCTTTTTGAGAGCATCTCAAACTGCTGGCAGGACCCCCTGTAGAGCTCACCAGGGAAACCAGTAAGTTGGCTGAACTAGCATACGTGCCTAGTTTATAGGAAATCCCCCTGGTTTCTCAGGCAAAAGGTCATTTGCATTACGTGGGAAGTTGGTAAAATGCTGACCTGAGACTGAGTGAATCTTACCTGTGGGATCATCTATTCCTTTAGAATGATGGGGGGTTTTTTCCAAAATTCAGCCTTTAAACAGTGATTTTTTTCTGCAGTGGGGGATTTGTGTTTTGAAAGGGACAAGAAGATTGCTGAAGTAAAGCTGGGAGATTGCTAGGAAAAAAATAATAATGATGATTGGCAACTCAGTTAATACATTTGAAAGTCAAGGTGCAGCTACTGAAGCATTAGCTCAGGAGGAAAAAAAAAAGAGATTCAGAGCTGGAGTCTAGAGGATATACGAAAATCTTCAGAATGATCAGGATTTATGGATGCTTCGTCTCCCACCTGCTGGCACCAGGAGTAAGGATCCACATGTAAAAGCCTCGAAAGTAATTTTAAGAATTAGTGAAGTGAAGCTGCATGTTGCAGAAAACAGCTTAAATTTGCTTTATGCCCAGAAGCCACCTGTAATTTTACTTTAAGGGGAAGTGGGTTAATCTCTTCCTTTTGTCATTCTTGATGATGTGCCATTAATTCTAGCAACTTCAACTCCAGGAAGGGACTTTGTCTGGCACCACGGAGAAAATGCACAGTGCTTGCAGAGGGGCACAAGAAAGATGGTCGTGGGAGTAAGGCTTTTGACTGGGATCCTAGAGCTCTGGGCCAAATGCCAGCTCTGCTACATATCCTCTGCCTGGACTAATCAATGAATTTATGTTATTTTGGTTCCTTACTATCAAATAGAGGCAGCAGTACTTCTTTTCATTCATCCACTGCCTGTTCTGTCCACATGGATGTTAAGCACCTCTTTAGCTCTTTAGGGCTCTCTTTAGCTCTTTAGGGCTCTCTTTAGCTGAACAGACTTGCAATAGCACTCACTGGGCCCCCAGATCATTTCACTGCCTCTGTATCACCTGTGATGAAGCAACTTATTAACAACTCGGGGCCTGCATGCTAATAATAAATTGCAAGTTATGTAGCTTAAGCCCAGTTTGAACACGTAAGATTGGCACTGCATTCAAAGTCAAGACAGACATCTCCTATGACAGGATTTTCAGACATACCTAAAAATAGGCACCAAATTTAAACATTGAAGCTCTTTCTGTCTTGAACAGTAGCCTGGATCTTTAAGTGCTCTCTTGACCTGATCTGTCCTGTTTGCAGCATGAGCTAAGACACTTGCCATAGAAGACAGATGGAACAGTGGGCAGTTTATCTCATAGAAGAGTGTAAGTCCTTGTGTAAGTCAGTATCTGAAAATCACACCCTGGTGCACACAGCATAAAACGAGCTTTGTGATAATGTTTGTAAGTCTATCCTGAAAGATGCA